TTGTATAAGATAAGTCAGGTGACAGGCTAATTTCCTCTTAGGTTTTGTATAAGATAAGTCAGGTGACAGGCTAATTTCCTCTTAGGTTTTGAATAAGATAAGTCAGGTAACAGGCTAATTTGCTCTTAGGTTTTGTATAAGATAATTTAGGTGACAGACTAATTTCCTTTTAGATTTTGTATAAGATAAGTCAGGTAACAGGCTAATTTCCTCTTAGAGTTTTGTATAAGATAAGTCAGGTGACAGGCTAATTTCCTCTTAGGTTTTGTATAAGATAAGTTAGGTGACAGGCTAATTTCCTCTTAGGTTTTGTTTAAGTTAAGTCAGGTAAAAGGCTAATTTGCTCTTAGGTTTTGTATAAGATAATTTAGGTGACAGACTAATTTCCTTTTAGATTTTGTATAAGATAAGTCAGGTGACAGGCTAATTTCCTCTTAGGTTTTGTATAAGATAAGTCAGGTGACAGGCTAATTTCCTCTTTGGTTTTGTATAAGATAAGTCAAGTGACAGGCTAATTTCCTCTTAGCTTTTGTATAAGATAAGTCAGGTGACAGGCTAATTTCCTCTTAGGTTTTGTATAAGATAAGTCAGGTGTCAGGCTAATTTCCTCTTAGGTTTTGTATAAGATAAGTCAAGTGACAGGCTAATTTCCTCTTAGGTTTTGTATAAGATAAGTCAGGTGTCAGGCTAATTTCCTCTTAGGTTTTGTATAAGATATGTCAGGTGACAGGCTAATTTCCTCTTAGCTTTTGTATGAGATAAGTCAGGTGACAGGCTAATTTCCTCTTAGGTTTTGTATAATATAAGTCAGGTGACAGGCTAATTTCCTCTTAGGTTTTGTATAAGATAAGTCAAGTGACAGGCTAATTTCCTCTTAGTTTTTGTATAAGATAAGTCAGGTGACAGGCTAATTTTCTCTTAGGTTTTGTATAAGATAAGTCAAATGACAGGCTAATTTCCTCTTAGGTTTTGTATAAGATAAGTCAAGTGACAGGCTAATTTCCTCTTAGGTTTTGTATAAGATAAGTCAAGTGACAGGCTAATTTCCTCTTAGTTTTTGTATAAGATAAGTCAAGTGACAGGCTAATTTCCTCTTAGGTTTTGTATAAGATAAGTCAAGTGACAGGCTAATTTCCTCTTAGGTTTTGTATAAGATAAGTCAAGTGACAGGCTAATTTCCTCTTAGTTTTTGTATAAGATAAGTCAGGTGACAGGCTAATTTCCTCTTAGTTTTTGTATAAGATAAGTCAAGTGACAGGCTAATTTCCTCTTTGGTTTTGTATAAGTTAAGTCAGGTGACAGGCTAATTTCCTCTTAGGTTTTGTATAAGATAAGTCAGGTGACAGGCTAATTTCCTCTTAGTTTTTGTATAAGATAAGTCAAGTGACAGGCTAATTTCCTCTTAGTTTTTGTATAAGATAAGTCAGATGACAGGCTAATTTCCTCTTAGTTTTTGTATAAGATAAGTCAGGTGACAGGTTAATTTCCTCTTAGTTTTTGTATAAGATAAGTCAGGTGACAGGCTAATTTCCTCTTAGTTTTTGTATAAGATAAGTCAGGTGACAGGTTAATTTCCTCTTAGGTTTTGTATAAGATGTTAGGTCAGGTGACAGGCTAATTTCCTCTTAGCTTTTGTATAAGATAAGTCAGGTTACAGGTTGGTTTCATCTCAGGTTGTCTGTTTGGGACTTTGTTAAGGGGGATCATTGAGAAATTCTTAGCTTACTTTTATTCTTCCCTGCGAATTTATTACCTTCCCTTTTTAATGGTGGCATTATTCCCACTCTATGCTAATCGTAATTTATTTTTGTACTGATCAAGGCATTTGCCGTAACGTCAACTTTTGTAGGTTTTTTATCATTATTAAAACTGAACAAATATTGTTTTATTGACACAAATTTTACATGTCCAATTAACATTAAAGCTTTATCGCAGTCACACGTCGTCCCATAAACATTTACGCCCGAAACAAAAGCAAATGCGTCAAAGTGCCTCAGTGCTACGCAGTGCAGTATCAACAATCTTTCTTCCCATGCACATTAATAGCATGGAACCAGCTGGACGATGCCAATGTGAACTCGAAATCGGTCGAAAGCTTCAAGGCTGCCCTGGCGTCAGCTAGGAGCTGTTAGAATAGAAACATCTTACCGCCAACCGCTGGAAAGATGCCAGTACATGGATGCAGCTACGAAACATTACCAGAACCAGAACCAGAACACTCTCATAAATCAAAGCAGGTTTGTTTGGATTGTTTGACTATGCACGCACACAATTCAGCACTCCTGTTGAACACGTCTCTCACGTTCACTAAAATGTGTGGATCAGAAACGAAACAACCCGTAAATATGTATCTAATTTTTTTAAGCATAATGTCATGAACATCGTCTCAGCAGTATGTTCATATCAATAAAGGTAACTAACATTATAACGATTTAAAGATTTAATCCGCGTAATATCATAAGGATAGTCAGTGAATCGAATAATTTCAGTTGTAGTCTATTATCTAATGAAAGTGTTAAGTCGTAAATTCAGAACAGCGAATTATAATTTTATATTGCCCTCTTGTGCAATGGTTGTGTCACAGGCCACATGCCAAATAGAACAGTTATTGGAATCTCAAGTTTTAGGTCTGCTGCTTATTTTATTTGGGGCTCTTGCACCCTTTCATTGGTTAACTGGTTTATTTAAATGACCAGCTTTTTTAGGTTTGTAAATGTGCCTCTCTGAAGATAGTGTGATTGAAGAGGCGGCCACTATTGTCGTCATCCTTGTTTGTCCTATTGAAAGCCTTTACAGCTCTTGACATTTTGAGCATAAGCAGTAGCATCGAGGGGTGGGGGGTGGGTGCAAGACGTACATACCGCATCGGGTGCCTACCTCACAGAGCCTGACACCAAGTGAAAGATGGTGAATTTTACATGATTGGGCTTTGGCTGGAATTGAACTCAAGACCAGCAACTTTTTTATTTTTTCTTTATAGCTTCCCCCCCCCCCGGCCCTCTCCTTTCATCTTTTGTCTCATACAAGCTTTTCATAAAGTATTACGGTCCGCCTTACATTTTGTGTTGTGTATGCCAGCCATAGTCAAGGAAGACAAATTCATCTTAAACTTCAAGGCATACGGAAATAAGTGGGGAGACGTGGAATATAAGGCAAATGGGATGATATAGTGCTTTTCTTGCTTCAAACATGTCTTTTTCATCAAATGCTGAATTCACTAAAATATCCATGTATTCTATATAAATTCTAAAAATAGCTGTTTATTTTTGTCTAATTTCAGCTCCTGGTAACGCTGGTAAGTATGTGGTTAAGTTTGCGTTCAAATAAACAAAGCCACATAGAACTACTCAATGTATTTCTCAAGATATCAAATTTGGATGGTGGGAAAAAATGTGTGCCAACCCGTTGTCAGTGGTTGGGTGTTATAACGTCTAGGATCATGGGATAGACACAATCAGGGTCGTATCTAGGATCATGGGATAGACACAATCAGGGTCGTATCTAGGATCATGGGATAGACACAATCAGGGTCGTATCTAGGATCATGGGATAGACACAATCAGGGTCGTATCTAGGATCATGGGATAGACACAATCAGGGTCGTATCTAGGATCATGGGATAGACACAATCAGGGTCGTATCTAGGATCATGGGATAGACACAATCAGGGTCGTATCTAGGATCATGGGATAGACACAATCAGGGTCGTATCTAGGATCATGGGATAGACACAATCAGGGTCGTATCTAGGATCATGGGATAGACACAATCAGGGTCGTATCTAGGATCATGGGATAGACACAATCAGGGTCGTATCTAGGATCATGGGATAGACACAATCAGGGTCGTATCTAGGATCATGGGATAGACACAATCAGGGTCGTATCTAGGATCATGGGATAGACACAATCAGGGTCGTATCTAGGATCATGGGATAGACACAATCAGGGTCGTATCTAGGATCATGGGATAGACACAATCAGGGTCGTATCTAGGATCATGGGATAGACACAATCAGGGTCGTATCTAGGATCATGGGATAGACACAATCAGGGTCGTATCTAGGATCATGGGATAGACACAATCAGGGTCGTATCTAGGATCATGGGATAGACACAATCAGGGTCGTATCTAGGATCATGGGATAGACACAATCAGGGTCGTATCTAGGATCATGGGATAGACACAATCAGGGTCGTATCTAGGATCATGGGATAGACACAATCAGGGTCGTATCTAGGATCATGGGATAGACACAATCAGGGTCGTATCTAGGATCATGGGATAGACACAATCAGGGTCGTATCTAGGATCATGGGATAGACACAATCAGGGTCGTATCTAGGATCATGGGATAGACACAATCAGGGTCGTATCTAGGATCATGGGATAGACACAATCAGNTAGATATGTTGAGCGTTAAGGTAGATATGTTGAGCGTTAAGGTAGATATGTTGAGCGTTAAGGTAGATATGTTGAGCGTTAAGGTAGATATGTTGAGCGTTAAGGTAGATATGTTGAGCGTTAAGGTAGATATGATGAGCGTTAAGATAGATATGATGAGCGTTAAGGTAGATATGTTGAGCGTTAAGGTAGATATGTTGAGCGTTAAGGGAGATATGTTGAGCGTTAAGGTAGATATGTTGAGCGTTAAGATAGATATGTTGAGCGTTAAGGTAGATATGTTGAGCGTTAAGATAGATATGTTGAGCGTTAAGATAGATATGTTGAGCGTTAAGGTAGATATGTTGAGCGTTAAGGTAGATATGTTGAGCGTTAAGGTAGATATGTTGAGCGTTAAGATAGATATGTTGAGCGTTAAGGTAGATATGTTGAGCGTTAAGATAGATATGTTGAGCGTTAAGGTAGATATGTTGAGCGTTAAGGTAGATATGTTGAGCGTTAAGGTAGATATGTTAGCGTTAAGATAGATAAGTTAAACGTTAAAATAGATATGTTGAACGTTAAAAATAATGAACTTTTTTACCTGCCCCATTCAGGTCCAGCTCCTCGGTGTGTATCATTTCAAGAAAACAAAGATAACGTGCTATCATGAAGACCCTTATCATAGTGAAGAAATGCTTTCTACTTATTGGAAAATGTACAGCGATTTCATGGGAGGCCCCAACTTTGAACCGAGAGCCCCACTCAATGAATCCCTGCTGACCAGTCTCTTTGGTCATTTACAGCGTTGTGGACTGCCATTTTTCGCCGATTCCGTTCGCATCATTAACGGGGAGGACGCCCCTGAAAAGGCGTGGCCGTGGCAGGTGTTTCTAGATATCCCATTGCCACGGGGAGAGTTTGCGCACTGCGGGGGCTCTCTGATCTCCGAGTACTGGATCCTCACGGCGGCCAATTGCATCCACCAGGTAGATCACGTCATCGTTTATCTGGGAGTCCGTAACGCGACCGACAGGGAAGACGGCCCGAATGTGCAGGTGAGAACCTCTGTTAATTTAATTCCCCACGCAGGCTACAGCATGCTCCATCACGTGCGTGACATCGGGCTCGTCAAGATGAACGAACCCGCGGTTCTCAATCACCACGTCTCGCCCATCTGTCTGCCGGACGAAGGGGACAGCTTTGAAGCTAACGACAAATGCTACTTGACAGGGTGGGGTAAGGTGCACCTGGCCATGTTGGCGCATAATGACATACACGAGGAGATTCTCCAGCAAACCAACGTCCACGTCATGCCCCAAAGCATCTGCGCGTACAGCAGCGCACTGAGCGATGACGTCATAGACGGGGGCGTTCTCTGTTTTGATTTACATGACGATAAACGGGGCCCCTGCTTCGGGGACTCGGGGTCCCCACTGTCCTGTCTTGACCCTAAAAAAGAACGTTACGTCCTGGCCGGTATAAGCGCTACAATGGGTGACTTCTGCTCATACAGACACGTACCGGCCATTGGCACGAGGGTGTCCGAATTCATTGACTGGATAGTCCAGGAAATGGACCAAAATCCATGAAAACAGTGGCGGCGCCTTTTGGGGCTGGGATAGGAGAGGCGATGACGCGTGGCTACGCTGTAGTTGGATTTGTTAACTGTTCGCAGACTTTGGGATAGACAATGTAAGGTTATCCAGAGAGGATGTTTGCCGTTATTGGTCTGTGAGTGTTGATCCATGGATATAAACAAGTCCTTAGGAGAACCTCCGGCAGCTTGTAGTTACAGACATAACTCATGAATGAAATAGACTTCTTAATAGACAGACGATGTAGACATGACTTGTGACTTAAATTGACTTCTTAATAGAAAGCGGATGTAGACATGAGTCATGAATTACTTGACTTTATGTAAACAAACGGTGCAGAAATTTTTTATTTTTTTTTAAACACCAAAAAACAATGCAAGTTGTTTAAAATGCGTACAGATACAGGTGTTTAACCTCAGTGAAGAAATAGTTTTACCAAAGTTGAAATCAGCTAAAGTGATTAATAATAAAATCAATTTAAATGGTTGTAAATTGTTTGTGACTTTTCAACTAAGTTCATTTAAACTATCTATTCCCTTACCGCACAAAAATTAAAATTCTAAAAATAAAATTAGAGTTTCAATGGAAAAGGCTATCGGTTATGACACCAAAGAGACTGTATTGTCTCCGTCTGATGTGCCACGGAATATATCTCGAATACAATAAGTAGCCTGAAATCACACAATTAGTTTTTAATTTTCTGCAAAAACTGCACGAAATTAGTTTTTACCAGATGCCCTGTTCTGACAAAAATACTGACAGAGATTTTGAGTCCATATGGAAAGATGGTATAGTCCCTTAGCAATTCAAGGATGCAACTATAATACGCATATATAAGAGAAATGGCAGTCACCAAATTTGTGACACCTATCGAAAGGTAAAGAAACGGTTATTCGAGTCATCTTGTTTGATGATGACTGTGTCCTAAATACAAGTTCGGAACTGATAACGCAGAAAATGTGTGATCCTTTTTCTAAGCCTTGCGACAACTACGGCTTTGCCATCAATACGAAGCAACAGAGATCTTTGGCCGTCCAGCTCCAGGGAAGCTTACAAAGAACATAAACTACCATTGAAGGGGCAGAACCTCAAAGCAGTGGAAAAATTCATATATATGGACTGCACCTTCTCCAGGTCAGCAACAATAGATGATAAGATCAATAATCAGGGTCACTGATAAAGAAGCCCTACAACGGGATTACTTTATAAACATCCACGTGCTACTGCGAAAAGGACAAGCCAGATGGGCAAGGAATGAAAGCTTTATTAGTATCCACACACTCTTACGAAAAGGACAGGCCGAATAGGCAGGGCATGTCACAAGAATACCAGACAACAACTGATGTTTGGTGAACTCTCCATGGGGAAACGCGCAGCTGATGGGCAGAAAAGGGCTGTCTAATAGCTTCCCTTAAATCCATGGATATTTGTAACACACATGCTCTGACATCATTGTAACTCATGGCGTGAGATCTTGTTTCTTAGTTCGTTATGTCAGTAGCATGGTCACTTGTTTTATGTTAGACTTCAGGATGCCGGCTAAGACTTCTTCATTCTTCCACTTATTATCCAGGCACGCAAAGAAGGATACTGAATTCTGATTAAACTTACAGTACTTTATTGAATCACACTTTACACTGATAATATTAATAATAATCCTTGCATGAATGTAATCATTTCACATATATATATATATATAATATTCCACCACTCAGAAAGACACGTCCTCACTCTACTATAACTCAGCTCAACTCTCTTCTAACTCTCAACTCTGCGCCCACTATCTCAATCAACTGCCCCTTTTATTACCAGCAAAGCGTGGAAAACGACCGCTTTGCCAAAAACATAATTTACTCTCCAAAAAACGTGGAGCTCACATTTTCCTCTCAAAAATACAATCCACTCTCTCTCTCCTCGTGGAAAAACATGGTCAACACAATTCACTGTTTACTCATGCTACCTCTCTGTTTTCTTGTGAAAACATAGTCTGTTACAATATTGACCTTGATTCGTGGGGAGACACTCGCCGTGGACCATGCAAGCTGGCGTGGCAGATGCACTGTCGGAAAACAATCCTCAAGGTATAAGTGCACCGCTCACTCTCAAAGAATGCTGACGGCAAGGAAACGCAGAATCGACCCACATCCTACTAGGATCCAAAACAACGTGTGTCCCACGTGCGGTAAAGCTTTCCCTGCACAAGTAGAGCTGGAAGGTCACCTTCGCATTGGCAGGATGAAAACAAAACAACAATATTTTAGGCAAAGGTGTGGGATTTGTTTTTAATCACCTTTTTCTCATTTGCCCATCACTCACCACCATTATCCCCTCACTCACCACCATGATCCCCTCACTCACCACCATGATCCTCTCACTCACCACAATGATCCCCTCACTCACCACCATGATCCTCTCACTCACCACAATGATACCCTCACTCACAACCATGATCCCCTCACTCACCACCATGATCACCTCACTCACCACCATGATCCCCTCACTCACCACCATGATCCCCTCATTCACCACCATGATCCCCTCAATCACCACAATGATCCCCTCACTCACCACAATGATCCCCTCACTCACCACCATGATCCCCTCACTCACCACAATGATCAACTCACTCACCACAATGATCCCCTCACTCCCCCACCATGATCCCCTCACTCACCACCATGATACCCTCACTCACCACAATGATCCCCAACTCACCACCATGATCCACTCACTCACCACAATGATCACCTCACTCCCCACAATGATCCCCTCACTCCCCCACCATGATCCCCTCACTCACCACCATGATACCCTCACTCACCACAATGATCCCCTCACTCACCACAATGATCCCCTCACTCACCACAATGATCCCCTCACTCACCAACATGATCCCCTCACTCCCCACCATGATCCCCTCACTCACCACCATGATCCCCTCACTCATCACCATGATCCCCTCACTCACCACAATGATCCCATCACGCACCACCATGATCCCCTCACTTACCACAATGAGCCCCTCACTCACCACAATGATCACCTCACTCACCACAATGATCCCCTCACTCTTGACCCAACATACATGAGCTGTAGCTCTGTGCCATCAACTCAGATGCCACTTTACAGGTCAGGACGAGGGAGACTGAATTGACCGAACAAGAGGATCACGTGTGACAACACAAAATTATGCTACTAACTCAATTCAAGTATTTAATAAAAATGAGAACGAATCAAATGTCATGTATTACTCATAGAAAAAAAAAACAAGCCAAATTCTACAACTCGCGCGAGATCAAATTTTAGGGGCATCAACTTGTAGTTAAGATTATTTAAACTTGGATTTTTTTTAATGAAATAGTTGTTTTTTTTTTTATTTTAATAAAGGTAATTTAAATGTTAAAAAACGCTCTTTTTTTTCCTCCATTAAAATAACAGATAAGTGTTACCAGCGTTACTTCATTTTAAATGGTGTGGACCCACGAGATCCAATGAGATGAACTTTCAAGACTCTTAGCATTTAATGGAGTTGAGCCCTGATTTTTTAAGAGCAACGAAACAACCTTTAATATTTATTTCTTATCTGTATTGGCTTTGCACCTTAAATCCTAATGATTAGAATTGGCCAAACATGGTGATCTGTTTTCTATGTTTTTTTATTTTCAACAATAAACATGAACATAGATATACATAGCTACAAGTTCTCAATAATGTTGACTCTCTGCTAGCTTCCGGAACACACGTTTCATTCACACACCCTCACTACAGTCTCTGCGCATGCGCTGGATGGGTCTAGTTTTCTTTCAGGACGGTCTCGTCCACTTTAACACAAGGACAAACTTAAATCATGTGTCGACGGCAAGAACGCATTTTAAATATATGGGAAAAAATAAACAATAATAAAAAATTAAAAAATAAACGAACAACTAAGAAAAAGCAGTATAGATAATTGTCAAGAAAGATTTAAGTTTATTTGTATCGATATACATCATAATAATGGAATGGCTTTTGACTTGAAAAGCTTTTGCGACCCGACCGGTGTGCTAATAGTACATTGCAAATTAAGGTATAAATCACGAAGAGAGGATTTCAATACTATGTTTTTTATAAAGCAAAATGCTTTAGATGAGGGAGTTAAGCCGTAAAAAAAAATATTTTAAAAGGGGTTGGACTCGCTTATCTTTCTTGAACTAAGGCATCGACACTAAGCATTGGCGAACGCGCGAAAGAAAAGTATAGGAAAACCTGAAAAAAGGAGGCAAAAAAACTACATTAACTATATACGTTGTCTTTGATGAGTAAGAGGAGACATGTTATCATTACTAAATGATGTGCCTTTTACAATCACCTCATCATCATCTCAACGATGACAGGTATTTTGAAGGTTGTGAAAATATGTTCAATGCTTACCCAGAGAATTAAACAATAATTTTTGCAGCTGAGCTACAGATGTTTGGAATAAGATCAATGCATGAAGAACTCTAATAATCAAGTTGATTCATGCAGAACTGCCTAACATAGTAGTAATATACATAGAGTGGGACTTCCCAAATCCTGACATTGGGTTCCCTTTCTATTCTTAGCACGATTCACTAATGACTCATCCGACTCATGTCATTTTCTCAGTTAACGCATTTTTTTAATCCCTTCTAATAAGATCGCCTTTGTTCATTTGTCGCTTTCTTTTTTTCTTTCTTTATTTGTGGCAGAAAAATCTGTGGAAGTCTAATTGACCCACTTGACGTTAACCTATCGAGGTGAAACTTAGCAAAGAGACTCCTCGCCGATGACAACGCATTTTATCATTTTTCCCCCCCCCCCCCCCCCGAAAAGTTAGTTCTTCCTGTTTTTCAAGGGGCAGGTAATTGATCCATTTCCCGTCATCCAAATCAAGTTTAAAGTTACCACATAGGCTCGTTGCCGATGACAACACATTCGATCAAAATTTTAGTCTACCTCCAAAAATCTGTTTTCCTGTTGTTGTTTTTTTAAACTGTAACTAACATCAGCGTGTTGATGATGTCAATGACCTGAAGTACGGCTGGGTGTGTGCGTTGCTGTGATTTTATGAAAATGTCGATTGCTTTGATTGTGTTCTATGACTTTAAAAATCACATTTTCAAGATACTTTGACAGGAGCTATTCAAATAATTTTTTTAAAAGGTATGAAAAACTTGAGCTTGCACTGGTCAGCGCTGACGTGACAGTTCATTCAGAAAGCAGGCGTCTTCTTTGAAACGCATCATTTCGTTTACGCGACAGCGCTGACAATTAAGTTGTAGGGACGCAGTGTCAACGATTATGAATAATCTTTTTCCCAACACGTTTCGTCTTTTGATTTGAGAACGAAGTTTTTATTTGACTAATATCTCAGCACATTATGAAAACTTGGTTTCTTTTGTAGCATAATATCGATAATATTTAAACTTGGAACTTCTATTGAAAATTGGAGTAATTAGATACTGGGAATTCAAACTTGTCATGAAGTGATAAGGGGAAAAAAGTGTTTTTTCTTGATCTTGAGCTCATAAATCTTTGTTAACGATCTCTTCTACAAAGGGTAGCAGCAATCAATGGGTGTCTTCAGTTTATTATTTAATTTGTAGTTCCTCAATATTTGCTTTAATAAGCGGCATTTAAAAATTAAAACTCATTACGACTAAAATTAATCTTACCTTCAAAATCAACCAGGCGGAGCGGTCAGGTATTTTGTTAAAAATCTAACAAGCTAATATATATTTTTTTTTTAAATAATAAAATTTTAAGATAATAATTTATTTTAATGTATGCTTCATATCTGGAAAGATTTTACGTCAAAACTAATACAGTTTCATCAGACTACACTTATCTGATATAAAGTTAGCATGTATTTATGACTAGCGCAACAAGCAACCAACAATCAGTACTGATTATTGGTAGAGATACTTATGTCTGGTAATCATTCGTTGCAGGTAGGTGCTAGAATTGCTAAGGTGTCGTAGACGCATTATTGCTGCGTGATTCCCTCTCTGACGTCATTTCCCGTCAAGGAAAATCATTGAGAAAGCAAAAATTTCCGGTCATCAACCCCGGAATCCCTTATTCAAGACAAAACGTATGTTTAATTGGTGTATGAAATTCTACGTCGATACCCCTAGACCCTATTGGCGCCCCTTTGTGACGTTTTTCAGGAAATAGAAATGTGGAGCCGGCTTGCAAAAGGTACTAAGTCCAACCAAACTCATTTTTCAGGAAATAGAAATAGTGTATTAAAACTTTGTTTTAAAAATGTTGACAAAACAGCACCCCATAAACATACCAATAGAAAAAGACAACTACATACTAAAATAAACAATTGGGACAAAAGGAACTTAGCTCATACAAACTGGGGATGCAAAGTTTGTAAAATTCCTCATTTACAACTTGACGGCTGTATTATGCCATATTATCTATTGTAAAGCTAGACACGCCGCGAACATTTCCAGCCAGAAAAAAAGTTTTAACTTGTAACCAGAAATACGGCGTAAGTGTTAAAACAAATGATATTAAATACAAGGGCTTTGAATGTGGATTTTAGGAACAGTGACAACTCATCCTTGAGGTGAAGGTCTTAAGTTCTCATAAAGTTTAATCAACTCTATTGGCTCACTATGGATATTGGCTCATATAACAAATTTGAGCACCAAAGTGTTATTGTAAAATTAATGGCTGAATATAAGCAGATTTAGTGTTAATCATAAAACAGTTATGTAGAATCCTGATATAGTCGGGTTTATCTATATATATCGGATATATCTCCTAACAGCCGATCCATTAGAGATGGGTTTTGTTGTGATGTGCACCATCTCTTATGAGTTTTGTCAACCTTGTCATAACGTAGTTTTGTACACAAATGGGTTGAATTTAAAAGCGCACAGTAAAGTAGACTATGACAATGACAAAGTCGAATCCATTAGGCAAGGATCTAATTTACAAATTTTTTTCGATATTTATTTAAACAAGATACATTTAGCTGTGTTAAAAAAAAAAAAAAAATAATGAGATGCCACGTGCTCGTTTAACTAGCCGTTTATTTACTAAACACTTTATAAAAAATTCTTGTATGTGTTAATGTAATGTAAAATTTTAATTAATGAAACAGATATTACAGCACAGTCCATTATGTATATTTAATACAGGACGGCAAGACAGTGTCTGTTCATTATGAGAAAACAGCCACAAATTTCGTGACAATTAACACTGTCAGCTATAAAGAGGTGCTAATTATTACAAGAAATCCATAAATATGCGTTACTGATGACAGCAGATATGTATTTACTCGATCATTCAACTATGAGATATTTTGTGCATATATAATTCTATACACTGGATAATTTAATAATAATATCTGTCTATGGTCATATTCTACAATAATGATTGTAGGCCTTGTTAGTCTCTCAGGTACATTTATGAATATTCTACATTAATGAATATATTTTCCATCCCAACACAACAATTAGAAGAAAAACACATCTATAAACTTGTTGAGCACTGAACTTATAGACTCATGTGCATGTACCATATATGACGCCTTGTGTACCCACGAGACATCCCGCTCATCCGATTGTGGCAAACTCTCGATACCACGTGCTCGCCTTGAGACTTACGGAAGGCGCACGTTCGCATTTGATGGCCCAACAATTTTGAACACGCTTCCTGTCGCTCTCAGAAACAGCCAGAAACTGGAGTCTCTCAAAACCGATTTGAAAACATTTCTATTTCGCAAAAACCTGTCGGGGTGATGTTGTCTACCATCTTTTCCAGCTAGCTATTATCTCCTAGAAGTATAGTGGCCTGTGTTGTTTATGCTTGCAAGGGATGAAAGACTTAGAATGGGTCTTCTCGTATTTAGTTTTTGTAATGTTGCGTTTTGTATTTCATGTGGTAAAATATAGATATTTTTTCTTTTCTCTTTTAATATGGATGACTTTGTACCGCGCTTCGAGCCTTTGCGGATGAAGCGTTTTTTTCAAATAAGCTTTATTATTATAATTTTTTATGCTAATATGAAGCTATGGAACTTAGATTAGGTTTTAAAGAGGGATTTGGAGCAGGCTTTTTTGGACAATCTCGGTTCCGGAAAAAAATTTTGTCAGCTCCGAGCTCCGGAAAAATTAAAAAGGGGGAGGATTGGTTGAGGGGGCTGATGTGTTTAAATAAATATGTTCATTATTGGCAATAACCAAACTTATAAAATAGGCAAAAGAAATGTATGTACCAGCAACATAGCTGATAGAAGAGTGGGGCAACATGGCTGGTAGCAGAGTGGGGCAATATAGCTAGTAGAAGAGTGGGACAATAAAGCTGGTTGCAGATTATGGCATCAATTTAAAAACATATAATTTTTTTAATTAAAAAAAATTCAAATTTTATTTTCTTATTTTTTTTTAGAATTATTTTTTAAATACATTTACAAGTTCAAATTTTGGAGAAATCTTCTGCAGTTCGGGTATTCCCAAAAGTGCTCTCAAATCTCATGGAACTTCCGTCTGATGTTTCCCTTCTTTTAAACAATTCTTTAAATATTTTCCGATACTTGGAACTCATCTTGTAATACAGTAGAATGTTCACATTGGAGTTGACGGAGTGTAGCATGAAGCCAAACGACCACGAAGCCCAAAATAAGTTTTTCTCCTTTCCATCCACGCTGAATCCAGCCACGCAGATGGTTATGGCGGACAGGGTAACCCCTGGCGAGTAGCAGACGATCAGAGACAGGGCGACCATGATGATCATGATCACGGTCTTCTGATCCCTTGTTGACATCGTTTTCATTTGAACTTGATCAGACGTCGACTGCTGACGCCATCTCGCCGTGCGTCGGAGCTGGATGGCCAGCACGCTGGTGAAAAACACAACGCACAGAAATGCACTGAACGAGAACGCACCGTGGAATGCAAACGTGAGACCTTTCGTTACGGGTCGATTACTTCTAAACGCCAGCCCAAAGGTCTTTTTATTTTTAGGAGCGGCAACTCTCCAATCCAAATAAACAGTGGAATACTCGGGTACCAAGGACAAGATATTCACGACGTAGATTATCGCCACTATGGTGGCCGTTTTTCGAGGGGTAAGGATTTGTTTGATCCTCAGGGGCAGCGTTATGGACAAGCAGCGCTCGAACGTGATGTAGACGGTGATCCAGCTGGTGATGCGGGCGGCGCAGCCGTGGGGCCACCCGGCGGTCAGATAAGATACGTCCGTAAAATTGATGCCGTCGTCGAGGCGGCCGACGTAAGGGTTCAGGCAGACGTTCAACCACAGCAAGGTGACGAGACTGCAGAGCTCAGAGATCGCCATGCAGAAGAAACTGATGTTCGTGGAGTTGCTCAGACCTTCTTTCAAAAACACGCACATGTTGATGACGTTCGCCCCAATTCCGAAAACTCCGATCACGCTGCTCAGCACCACGTGATTGACCAGGATGAAAATGGCGCCGGCTTCGTCACTTAAAACCCCGGTCATGCGCTTCTCATCCACGAGTTGGTGTGTGGCGTTAATAACCACGTCGTCGTGTGGGTCAAAGAATGAAATGTTTGCTTCCATTATTTAACTGTCAGTCATATACAAGGGTCATTTCTCATCAAAGTCATTAGTGTCATCACTGACAGCAGTTAAAATATTTGATGACGCAGCTAAATGGGTCAAGGTGTCCGGGTTGGACATTAAACATTTTCGTTTTATTTTATACTCAGTTTTTTAACGCCTTCAAAATGTTTTATGCACAACGCGTAACTTATTGCTTTATATTTTACAACGTTTTTATGTCCTCAACATCAGGACGTTAGGGGAAGGGAGACATTTTTCCAAAAGGACATTATGTTTGAGAAATGTATTTATGTTACCTGAAATTCTGTTTTATTGTTTCAACAATTAAGGAAACAACATGTTGGTATAAAATGGTTAATATGTTAGCATAAAAATGTTAGTATGTTGGTAAGAAAAATGCTAATGTGTATATATCAATTGCAATATGTTAGAGTAAAATTTTAAAATGGTAGGCTAAAAATGTGAATACGTTATAATATTCTTAATGTTAGTATGCAAATGTAAATATAATAGCGTAAAATTTTTAATATGTTACTATAAAATGTAAGTATAAAAAGGTTTGTTTTTTATCAAACAAAAAAGATCAGTTAAAATGAATTAATGTCGTGTAAATTCATTTTTCATCAATTTTGTTTAAATTCGATATCAAATTATAAAGCTTTCTCATAGTACTTCACATGTCTACATTTTAATGGCATATTGTTTGCTTCTCACTTAAGGAGCACATTTTATAATACTTTGTCGCACAAGAAAATACAAATGAATATCGGGATGTTAGAATAAGATCTGTGTTTTAAAAAGCTTTGTGGACCGTACTTAATGTTACTCCTAGAGAAGGCGTGAATTTATTTATGAGTCATTAGATAGCAAAAGTTATAAATTCGAGTTTGTTGACGAAGAATTTGGATTTAAGAATATTTAAATTAAAAAAGTAACTTTACAATTTTTAACTTAGTATTCTCAACTACGGTTGAAATAAGGCAGCGGTTCTCAACCTGTGGGTCGCGACCCCTTTGGGGGTCGCGGGACCCTTTTCCAGGGGTCGCCTAAGACCATCTGAAAACATATATCCTTACAGCTATGAAGTAGCAATGAAAATAATTGTGTGGCTGGGGGTCGCCACGACACGAGAAACAGTATTAAGGGGTCGCGGCACTAGAAAGGTTGAGAACCACTGAAATAAGGGGAAGTCCCGAAAATATTTTCAAAGCACAAGAGTTTCCTTAGTGTTGATTGAAACCAAGCGCGTGGAGCAGAATGTGTTTGTGTTTAGATGATTTCGTGTGTTTATGTATTAATACACACACGCACAAATACCGGTACCACAACTGCACTAACACTTTTGAACTATAAAAATCTGGTTTTCATGGTTTGGTTGAGAGCAACAGGCTACATGATGTAGAGGAAATCATCAACGGTCTCATTTCATATCTATCGTTGGTAAAAAGAAAACAAGTTCTAAGTTAAGGCCAGGACGTCTCTGGTTGTGCAACAACAAGACTTTTTATTTTGTAATCGTTGTTGAAAATGCCCCTCCCATTATCCTTTTATTTTTTACAAAATCTTTAAAAAAAACGATCCCAGTCACCGACTCGAACCATTATTAAATCATTTATCTTTTGCCAACAGGAAGTTCGATTTGACAGTCAACCGTCTCCCCTTATTCGATCGATAAAAGTAGAGTTAGTCGGCCACGATAATTTCACTGTAAAATGGTATTGCCTTCAATTTGAAAGTTAATATTTGAGAAATGTAGTCAAGATATTTGCTTTGATTTTGTTTCAATAAATAGTTTGAAGATAAAGTTCACATTGTGGGACCGTATCGACTTCTAATCAAGGTGAGCTCAGGGACGTTTGTCCCCCAGCCAGTTGATAGTACCAAAATTGGTAAACAAAGTACACGTGTAGTTACACAACTTAACCAGTTAACTTTCCAGCTCGGCCAATATTGCAATCGGTATTAAAATAACAGCGTTTACTTTGAACACACGAGAAATAATTTCATTTCATTGTAGGGAAAATAGCAACTTTAATCATGGCTTTTTTTTTTTTTTTTTTTTTTAAATTATGTTAATGGTTTTGCTTCGGGGTAAACAGTCAATGCTTTGAAAACGTTGGGTTAAGATTTGTTCAGAGCTAAATTATTTTTGTATTATTCAATAGAGTTGATAACTAATACAGTTCATTTACCGGTTTAAATGATAGAAAAAGAAGAGTAGCCTTCATAACTTTATGAGAAGTTTTAAGCATGAATGATGCAAAATTTAAAGTAGCTGATGAAAAGTCTACTATTAATCTCATTCGACATTTTCCATTCAGTATCAGAAAGATCATTTTAAAGAAGACGTCTAAGGTGTCTAACGATTCAGGGTATTCAAGACTTAAAGACTGCTAGACATTTGGCCTTAGACTTATAAAAAGACTTAAATTTAAATCTGAAAACTTTGCAAATAAAAACCTCGCTAAGATGAAGTGGCTTGGGAATCATCCAGGTCAAACTTTTTCAAGTCCAATTCCCCCCCAATTTCTCCATTAATTTTATTTTAATTTGGGGGTGAATAATTTTGTAAAGAAATGTTTTTTGATTTTTTTTTTTATTATATTTGATCCCAATGATCAAGGCATTTGATGCATGAAAGTTTCTGATAAACATTCAATGAATTGTAAAGTAAATAGCAAACAATTCTAGTATTCAAACTATTACGGGGGATGAACTCATTTAGACTTTAACAGGCTATGTACTCATTTAGACTTTAACGGGGGAGCGGGGGGTGTACTCATAGTGATTCTATCACAAAGCGTACCATTTTTTTTATAATTTTGAGTATAAATAATTAACAACTTTGTATAAATAAAATATAAACTTTTGCTAAGCGACCCGTAGAGAAAGCTAAGAAAATAGAGACAATAAAAGTCGATTTATCTACAACATTGAACAGTGTTTACTAACATGTGTCCTCGCACCCCATAGCAGGGTCAAGTTGCATTTTAAGGGCTGTGATTAAAATTTGTAAGAACAAGAGGAGCCATTAAGTTTTGAGTTATGATATTAATATGAATAAAGCTTTTTCAAACTTATTCATTAAACTTTTTAATTGATGTAATAATTTAGACGTTGGTTTTTTCAACTCTACATTTCCCTTTGTAAATCAGTCAATCGAGACATGTATTAGATTTATTTTTCTTGAAATTATACAAATGAATTGTTACTTTTGTAAGGGGTGTAAGACTTTGTCCAACAAGCCGTAAGTGATACAGACTACAGAAAAAGTTGGGAAACTGTGACTTTGAACTGGGTTCACCACTGAGAATTGTGGCTTCAACAGGTCTGCATTGTGAACATTCTTCAGGGCAGCTAGCATGACAAGACGCAGTGATATGCCTAGCGTTTTGCAGGTAGGGCGCAAAAAAAAAAAATATCGATTTCTATTAATTCAATAGTTATTCACAACTCTCTCAGAGTTTACACTGCGCAAATTACATAATTTAGCATTACACTCCCATTACATTTTGCTATCATTTCAATTGTACTTGTTCTGGCATTTCACAGGGTTCGTCATTATGCACTGCAATATCTTTAAACGTAGCCACAAAACTGAGCACATTACACTTTGTTTTCTAAACACCCTGCCGTGGCCGCCAAATACCCTAGATACGACTTTGGTATGAAGACAGTGGTGGCTAAAGCTATCAGCCCCTTTATGGCCTCATAAAGACTAGGATTGGACAGCAAGGGGGGTGGGGGCGGCATTCAAATAAAGAGCGCCCCATGAGCACCTGGTTCAGCTTTTTCACTAGAAGGAGGGGCTCTTGGAAATGTATTATGTGCCCCGACATATTTACTACTTGAAGGGGATTTAATGTATTATCAAAGCTGTGATCATGATCTCTATAGCCTGCAGCGTATGTAATCATGGTCTAAATAGCCTGAAATGGGTGTCTTCGTGATCTCTGTACCCTGCACCTGTCCTGGTGCACATTTTGCCTTGTACTACTAGACCAGCTATACCAAATGGTGATGGCCATGTAGCCCGTTTCCTTCATCTTTCCAGAATCAATAGGACAATAGTTTATCTATCTGTTTGAGATTATTCTCTGCGGACCATCTCTAGCACATTATTTAAGACTAGAATACATGACCCGATATTATCGGGATAATTATGGTAGGTCCTTTGCGATAATTTCTACATCATGCTATTGGAAAAACTCATCATTATTCCTAACTTTAAAAAGAAGTATCGATTTAATGATTATTTACGTGTCTAACATCATTAAGTTTTGAGACGTATTTATCTGCTAGTTACTACGCGCCTACCCTGCTCCTTTTCACGCCCTTAAACTACTTTCTTTCTCCTCTAAAAATGACCTTAAATTACGCAATCTAAATTATCACTACTTAGATCACTTTTGTCCCTAAAGAAGGTGATTAAGGGGCGATTTCTACGCTAGAGAAATACTTAAGGTTTACCCCTTTCCGTGCCCTTGAACTACAACTTTTTTCACTACAAATTGTTTAAAAAAATAATCTTAAATTTACACACAAAAAAACTCTATATATGATATAAATATATTTTACATTAAAGGAATTTGATATCCTGATATCCTGATATCCTGATATCTTAATCAAAAATCGAAACACACTTTGCCTTGTTTTTTTTTTTTTTAAATTATACAAAATGAGAAAATCGTAAAACAAATAATTCTTTTCTCTAAAGAAGAATCTCGAAACCTCTTTTTCACGTCTATAGCAAACGTTAGTGTCTTTTATTTATTTTTTTTAAATTGTTAATCTCATAAAAATAAACCCATTTTTAATTTTCGCAAAGTAAAAACAAAATTATAGTTTCATTTTAATTTTTTTTTTTTTAAATATTAACCCATCTCCATCTCAAAGTTAAATTTTCTTATATGCTTCTATAAATTTACCCACGTTGTATTAAAGCCATTGATTTTCTTAATTTTAAAACATATGTTTATTTGTAAAAAGAGAATGTAACATCTTTTCTTTTTGAGACGTATCTTGTTCTGCCGGGGGCAAGATGAACATACCCATATTTGTAAAAAGAGAATGTAACATCTGTTTTTTTCATAAATGTAATACCATAGGTTTAAAATATATTGTCATCTACGTAAAAATGTAAACATTCTATTTCCTGCGTCCGACATGTATGTACCCAAAAATGGTTGGTTAATTATTTATCAAATTAATTCCTTTATTTTGAGACGTATCTTGTGCTGCCTGGGGCAAAATGACAACACCCCCCTCCCCACCCATTTAAATAAAATAAACAAAACTTTCACCGGACTGTATTCCCTTCCATAGCCAGCTTAACATATTTTGAAAATCATATAGTTTGTTCTTATGTGAATAATTTATAAGTGGATTAATGAATGCTTTTTGGCTGTGCAGTTTCGCTGCACCGACTGACTTGACTTAAACGGTATTTTCTTATTAGAAATATATTTAAAACTTAAGTTTTTATTACGTTATAAATTTAATAAAAGTATACTTTTTTAATTAAAAAAGGCAAAAACGTATTAAATGATAAAAATGCATAGCTAAAATATGAGTGTGTTTTGCTAACAATTTAAAAAGCAATCAATGATATTTATTAATTTTACTTTTAATAATGGGAAAATATATTACCAGTTTGTTACTCACGGTTATTAAAATAGGCAATTCACGCTATGACGTCATTTGTGCACTTATTTAAATCAAATTAATTCTATTTTCCTTTCGAAATATTAACAACGCACTAAAAACGCACTAAAAACAACAGATATTTGGGTTTTCCCAACAAATGTGATTAAGATGCAATTCTGAGATCATATTTTTTTATTAATATTTTTTTTTTTAGAACTTTTACATTCGGATAAAATGCTTAAAATAGTTTCATAGTTTATACTTTAAATGTATTTTTTATTTATAATAATAATACTTAAACTTTTGCTAAAATAAAATTGGATATATAATATATTTTGCGCATTTAAATTTATTTGATTTCCGTAAAAAAATAGAAAATAACTATACTTGTTTTTAAGAATCCGAACATATCTAAATATTTTCGGTTCTTCTGCTTTACGGTCAGCATAACTTATTCTTATATATATTTTAAGGACGATATCTAACGTATCATTGGAATTTCGAAGGAACATCTCCAGCAAATCACTGAAGTTTCTAGGGACCATCTGTAGTACATCAATGAAGTTTCTAGAAATCATATCGAGCACATAATTAGAGATTTTATAGACCATCTCTAGCACGTCAACGGACTTTCTCGGGACCACCTCTAGCACATTATTAGAGTTTCTAGGGACCATCTCTTGCACATCATTGAAGTTTCTAGAGACCACCTCTAGCACATCATAGAAGTTTCTAGAGACAACCTCTAGCACATCATTGAAGTTTCTGGAGACCACCTCTAGCAAATCATAGAAGTTTCTAGCGACAACCTCTAGCACATCATAGAAAGTTTCTAGAGACCACCTCTAGTACATCATTGAAGTTTCTAGAGACCATCTCTAATACATTATTGGTATTTCTGGATACCATCTCTAGCACATCGTTTTGGAGTTTCGATTTTTGTAGACTAACCTTTAAAATGTTCAATTGTAATTAAAATTTAATTTAGGCATTTCAATAGTACTTTGTATCACTGCATTTAATAAAGCAACATTTTTACTTTAAATTTCAATGTATATAGATACATAAGAGTTGAATGGTGTTTTATTATTTTTGTTGATCCAACGCACTCTAACTGATCTGCAGTGGCGACGCTACACCAGGTCCCGCCGGGTCCCAGGACCTGGTAAAAAAAACTTGGGACCAGGCAAATGACCTGGTAAATTTTTATTAGTTACTAATATTGTAGATATGCTCATTAAGCGTAAACTAGATTACATGTAAGAGAACTTCCATTTTAAATGCCATTATATGTTTACATTTTTATTTTTAATACATTTATTTGGGACCCGCCACATTTTTTTAAGACCTGCAAGGGACCCGCCATGTTGAATTTGATGGTGTCGCCACTGCTGATCTGTAACAAAAGTAAGGTTCAGACATGTCAGTAACACTTTTTGTATTGTGCGTAACTTATCTTTGTTAATTTACGAGCACCTATCATTCACCATTAACAATGTAATGTCTACTGCAGTCTAATGCAGGTGTCTCAAACATGTCAATTGTGCACGCTAAATGGGCTAAACTTTTACAATAAATCCACATAAGTACATTTATGCATTTTGGGGCTGGCAGCAGAAAGCTAACGTAACAATGTGCCCTATGTCTGGAAGTAGAATGCGAATGTGCCAGGTCCAGTCTTACCCCTTTGACTGGCCTATTGACCTTGGTAGTGGGACCCAGCAAGTTCTTTAAGTTCATCACAGCATTCAATAATCACCTCAATGCTCCACACTACTGCTACAGCCAAGCGTCCGTCTATTTTCTTTAAAATATAATTCAAGACACATACAATATTGCTTCCTCACTTGGAAACTTGTTTTATTTTGGTTTAGAACGTGGGGTTGTTATTTGTGTATGTGTTTGCATATTGTTCCAAACAGCTTTTCACATGTTGATTTTTAAATACATTTTGGATTTTAGAGCTATTAATGTTTCATAAATTATAATGTATGGTGTCTGAACATCAGACATCACATTTCATATTAGATTGTGTTTTGCAGTAACTATTAACATTAGTTTATTCATTATACATTCATTTTCACAATTTCATGCAATTTATTTTATGCATTTCGATAATCAGTCGAGATCCACCAGATAGTGTAACTTCTCGTCTGCACCTACTGGAATAGTTGAGTCCGATATAAGAGTGTCTGTCCGAGCTTCACATCTTGAGTCCGATACAAGGGCAGCTGTACCAGCTGCACATCTTGAGTCCGATACAAAAGTGGCTTTCACAGCTTCATATCTTGAGTCCGATACAAGAGTGGCTGTACCTGCTACACATCTTTTGTCCTACACAAGAGCGGCTGTCCCAGCTTCATATTAAATGTGAACATCTAAGGCTGCTTTTGTCTTCATGGTGCGCGCTATGGACATTCTCAGTCGTCAGTTATGCTCACGAGGAATTAGGCCTAGTTCCAAAGAACAGAACGCTAAATCATGTTGCCAAGGCCTCAAAGATTTACCCTCCAAGATTATAATAGACTTATAGCATCTATACATGTATTTGGTTACTTACACAAGTTAGTTCATAAGCTGGAGTTCATTGCATGAGTTTGGACGTTTAATTGTTTCTTGATTGTTCTGATGGAGTTTGAATTTTACATTTTATTTCAGTCATTTTAAAGAAATGTCTATATCTAAACAAGTTACTTTTTTTTTTTAAATAAATATAATAAAAACAAACAAATACTTTAAATTTTCAAACAATTTTAAACAAAAAAAATCAATTGTGTGTACCAAGCGGGTCTAGAAACCTCAAAAACTTTTCATCAATGTAAACCAGATCATTGAGTTACCTCAGCTAAGGCTCATCTCTAAAGTTAGACTCCCTTACAGTGTTGTCAAGAAATGCATTCTCGCCAACAGTCTTAAAAAGCTGGTTGAACTTTTCTCTGTATTTTGAGCTCATTTTGTAATAAAGAATTATGTTTACATTAGAGTTGATGGCGTGAAAAAGAAAGCCAAAGGACCACGCGGCATTAAATAAATTGGCCTCTTTTCCAACGACACTGAAACCCGGCAAGCAGATGGACATTACGGACAGGCTAACCGTGGGTGTGTAGCAGACGATCAGCGAAAGCGCGACCAAAATTATCAAAGAAACCGCTTTCTTGTCCCGGGTTGACAGACTGCCCAGCTGTTGCTGGTCAGGCGCTGACTTCCGGCGCCATTTTGATGTCCGCCTCAGCTGATTGACCAGGACACTCGTGAAGACAATCACACACACGAATGCGCACAAGGACATGCCGGCGTGGAACGCGAACGTCAAGCCATCCGTGACCGGTCTGTTCCCTCTGAAGGCGAGCCCTACCATTGTCTTGTTTCTGGCCGGATAAAACTTCCAATCATAATATACTGTTGAGTACTCGGGCACCAGGGTTAAAATGTTGACCGCGTAAATCAACGTTAAGATGGCGGCCGACCTTCTCGGCGTGACGAGCCGCTTGATCCTCAGGGGCAGGGTTATGGACAGGCATCTCTCAGCCGTGATGTAGACGGTGATCCAGCTGGTGATTCGAGCCGAGCAGCCGTGCGGCCAGCCAGCCGTGAGGTAGAGTATCTCGGTGAAGACGAAGCTGGTCTCCACGACGGAGATGTAAGGGTTGATGCAGACGTTGAGCCAGAGGAGCGTGACGAGGCTGCACAGTTCAGAAACGGCCATGGCAAACAGGCTGGCGTTCATGGAGTTGGTCAGACCTTGTTTGACAAACACGCAGATGTTGATGACGTTGGCGATGGTTCCTAGAATGCCAACGATGCTGGACAGCACGACGTGATTGACTATTATAAGAACACGTGTGACGGCGTCACTTAGCAACCCTGACATGCCAGCTTCCGAAGTTGTGGTAACTTCAAAATGTAAACTGTTGAAGTCGTCAAATTTAAAAGTCTCGGAACAATTCAACAAGGGCCCCATTTTTTTATGGTCGTCTGTGTATTCTGCTAAAGCAAGGCTTTAAGGATACATCGCAGGGAATTTACTGAAAACAATTAACTAGGCAATCAGCAAAAACTAACACTACTCACTATGAAACGAGTAACAACTAAAACTATTCACTAGGCAACCAGTAGGAACTAATACTATTCACTGGGCAATCAGTAACAACTAACAACATTAACTAAAAAAACACTAACAACTAACATTATTCACTATGAAACGAGTAACAACTAAAACTATTCCCTAAGCAACCAGTAGGAACTAATACTATTCACTGGGCAATCAGTAACAACTAACAACATTAACTAAAAAAAAACACTAACAACTAACATTATTCACTATGAAACGAGTAACAACTAAAACTATTCATTAGGCAACCAGTAACCAGATACTACATATCCTTTACATAGTTGGAAAAGTCCAAAAATTCTAAAACCTGAAGTCATTTATTGCAAATACTACATCATTCTTTGAGGCCGCTCACACATGTGCTGTTGGCTACCAAACAATCAACAATAATCACGGTGTTACCCAAAAATTTTGTGGTGTTTTAACCAAATAGTTTAGTCAGCCATATCATTACAGTTTTTTTTTAAACTGAAAGACATTCTTTGAGAAAAAGATTATTTTTCTACATTTGTATCTGTTTAATGCGGACGTCTTGTTGACCAAACAGTCACGTGGTCACGTGACAGTGCTCTTTAAATGTCATGTTAATAAAACTATTTGGTGACTCCTTTCCAAGGATCGCTGCCAATGAAAAAAAATTCTTTTTGCCAAAGAAAATCTAAAATGGACATTTTTTTTTTTCCTTAAGAAGAAAATAGCACAACTCTGTGTTTTGTTTCACTATCGGGCGTAAGCTCTTACAATAACAGAACGTCTTCAGCTTATTTTTATGTTTGATTTTCTGAACCTTCTAATTATTTTATTGTTACCAAAAAGTAAATTTTTATTTGTTATTTTTTTTTTTTAAACTTAAGCTACTGTGAGATTTTCGGCACCGAACAGCCCTTTGGGTGAAGACGTCAATAAGACGCTGGACATGATGGTCACAGTGTTTTTGTTTAAGTTTTCTATGCAGATGTGAACAGCTAAAACCTTAGCAACATTTGTGACTTTAGGAGATGTTTAAACGTCTGCTGAGTAGGGTTAAGATACGTGTAGGGCGTAACTTAAGGTTGGCCTACCATACTTAATGCTGAGTCTTTTCCCTGGGGACTAGCTGGTTGAAGATTATTGCGATCTCTTTGTGTCATGCCGATGATGTGACTTACAGCAGCGTAGCCTTGGGACTCTTTTAGCGGTAACGTCAATTAAATATATCGAATAATTAATTTTAATAACTTTTTAAAACATTCATCTTGCGCCCTTAAGATATGGAAGAAATTCTTCAGCAGCTCAAATTGAACGTGAAAAACTATCTAAAATGATGGCTGTCCAATTTATTTCATTTTTTTTTTTATTGCTGATAATTTTATTTACTCGGTACTATTGGACTCGCTTAAAGAAAAGCTTTATTTGGATTTTTTATTTTGGGATAATTTTATAATTTTTCCTATAAAAACATATTCCTAAGGAAACGGAGATGTCCTCGTTTTGAACCCCAGATAAGAAAACATGTCAATAATTGAACAATGCGTTCTGTCTCCAAGCAATAACACAGATCAATAATTTATAAACGGGTCACGTGAAACTGGTGGGAAATTGTTTTGTTCGATCTTAGACTTTTGTTTAAAAATTACGATACCATATTTCATTTAACGAGTGAGGTTTATGTAAACTTGCTGTTATCAAACAATTGTTTTTTTCTACATCAAAAGCAATTACTGGCCGGCCATTTTGTTAGTTCAGCATTGATTATCTTATTACTTTATAATTTCTGAGTGAATATTGCCGGGGGGGGGGGAATGTTAGTATGAAGATAGAATGTACTTAACTAAAGTTATGGAATTAATCTAGCGGAAAAATTTTCTATTTGCAATAACCGAAATTTGTTTAAAACAATAAAGCAATTTTTGTGATTGTTTTGTTGAAGAGCCGAGGTGATGATTTTTTTTTTTTATATTTTATCTTGTTACGGGTAATTTTATTCTTTTATTAAAATTTTGAAAAAAAAGTATTTAGGGAAGAACCAATGCAGAAAGTGATCTTAGTGTGAATCAGCTCAGCTTGGGACATGTTGCACATAAACTCAGTCATTCAAACAAACATAATCATTATGCTTTCAAAGCATAGAGATGTTTGTTAAAAAAAAGAATCATTTGAATATTTCAATAAGAGTTCGCTTAAGGCATTGTCCGTTGCTGGTGTGGCTATTTCAAAGGCATAGCTTGTGGTACATCCGCATTTCTGGAAATTGTGTGACAATGATTACGCCGATTTTAATGAGGCTAAGGGGGGTTCAAGGTGTACATAAAGCTGACGTTTCATTAAAATGGTATAATATTGTGGAGAGTTCGGACCACGACGGCGCCTGACGTAATCTGTCTGACCACCCAAGCTTGTGGAGAGTCGGACCACGCACGAGCGCCGGACCACGACGGCGCCTGACGTAATCCGTCTGACCGAAGGATCAAGCTTGTGGAGCACGACGGACCCAAGGATCAAACGCCTGACCAATTACGGCCGTCTGACACCCAGACACGACCATCCATCTGACCAGGGCATTTACCTGGGACGTCTAGACCGAC